ACACACACACACACACACACACACACACACACACACACACACACACAGAACAGCCGGTTACACCAGCTGAGTCTTCTTCAGGTAATCTTAAAGGGAACTCCAATGCACCGGACTGAGACCTGCAGGTGAGGCCACGGTACCTGCTACCCCTTGTGAAGGCAGAGGAGGATCGCGTCTCTCCGCGCAAAGTGGTCCCCTTTAAAAGGCCCTGCGTATTAGAGTCCTGCCATACCAGGACGTGACCATCGCATTCCAAAACACCGTCCTCGCGTTCAGCCGCTCGCCGGCTCCCGAACCCGCGACACTCTTCTCCAGCACCAAAGTTTCAGCTTCGGAGAGACTAAAAATAAAAAATACTCTAAAGATTCACCTTGCAGGACTGCAAATACAGAAATGTACAGAGCAATAAAAAATACAGAGCATCAAAAAGGTTGAAATCAAATCACGATAGAGGAATTAAGATCACTTACTTTTTTCTTTTCTTTTTTTTTTTAACTACCTCACTAATAGAACTGCTGATGGCTCTACTAGCGTCAACAGTTTCTTAAGTACATGTAGTTATATAGTATGCATCTATACTCCATAAAAGGGTCTGGGGGGGGGGGGCATCGTTAGGATCCACATGGACCCCTTTAGGTATTGCTTCAGTTCTGAGTCGCTATGAACGCACTCTGAAGCAATGTTCGATAAGAAACAGACCGCAGAGGTCCGACGTGTTTCTGGTGTTTGGACTGGGCGCTTCTCAAAAGCCCTGTTTGGTTCATGTTTACTTGCAATACTCTAAACCTCGCAGTATCGGCAGGAGTCCCGCGAAGCGGCTCCGGTGGCCCGAGTCGTCTTTTCTCTGCTGTGTGCGCGTTAGCGGATGCGGAACACCGCCGGCTGGTTCAGTCCGTCGTACGGCGTGGAGGAACTCGGGGGAACTCGATGGCTGTGCAGAGTTTCCTCCACCACCAGGTCCAATGTAAACAGCTTTTACAGAGGCAAGACAAGAAAGTAAACAGACTCTTTGGCACATCCCAACACACGATGACGGATGCATTTCAAGTCCTGATTAGACCGCGCACAGACAGGCTCACACATTTAGTCCACTTGGAGCTAAGGACAGGGGGCTTTCCTATCAGCGGGTTAACGTCAGTCTCTCTCTTTAAACTGGGAGACAAATGCACATCTGCTATGTATGTACACAAACATACAAATTAACACACACACACACACACATTGTGTGCACTAGTGTAAAAGTGCACCGCTGACCTATTTTCAAACATTCCAAAGTTCTACTTTAGCTTTAAAATGACCTAGCTTACCACATTCAGATGCATAATAATAAATAAATAAGAGCTTGGGTTAAATGTAAAATGGCAGGAAGAGAAAGGGCAACACTGTGAATGGAAAAAAACTTCAAAAAGTGTAACCTTGGCCCTGCTTCTCAAAAATAAAATAAAAAAGCTACTACCTGCTGAAAGCAGCGGACCTTGGAGTAGTGACATCATGAAATGGTACGGTAACATGGGGCGTATGTTTGATTGTGTGCATATAAGGTTTCAATAGGTGCTTTTTAAGATACATTCAAGCAAAATGTATATTTTGGGAAAGAGAATTACATTATAAAGTCAACAAGGGGGAGTTTCCCTTTTTGGATGTGCTTCCACTTCTGGCTCCTTTAACCAATTGGAATTAGTCTTTTAGTCAAATCCCGCCCATTTTTTAAATGGCCGTTTCAGTAAGTGCCGAGTGACAATGTCACTGTTGAAAGTGCCCGTTTTAACACTTCGTGTTACCACATGTTTGACGTCTCGACCAGACGAGACTGGCGTGATTATAAATGTCATTTAATCTCAGTCGGGACCTTTAGGTGAGAAGGCCGGCGCAACCGGCGTGCTGATAGAAATGGTCAAAGTCTGTTCATAAAAGGAAATGGGGGACGAAACTGTAGCAGACAGGAGGGTTGAAGCTTGATAAAGGGCTACATTAACCCCTAAATCCCCAGGTGACTGGGAGGAGAGAGGTACAGCAAAGGTCTGCGTCAACACCTGGACATTCAATAGAAACAAGGCAATCACAAAACACTAGTTCATCTCTCCTCATGATACTTGCCAAACTCGCGGATAAGCCAGGAGAGCTTCGTTCCCCTGGTAACGGGACTTAGTAACAGTCCAGAAAGCTGCTTCAAAAGGTGCTTGGGGCTCAGAGGGCTCTTTGGAGGGGAAACGATCCTCTCTCAACACTTTGTGAAGGCCGAAAGGAAAGAAGCGGATGGACGAAGAGATATTTTTAAAAAAAGGGAAAAAGAAAAGGGTTTAAATGACAGCGATGAGTTTGAGCTTACACTGTCTGGGCGGGGAGGGGGATAGAAGCTGGAGATAGGGTGGGCTGCTCCTCCGAGACAGTTACAATCTCTGTGGCAGTGACCGGCGGAGCACACTCGGCCACCGGAGGCGTGGTGGAGCGGCCGTCGGGAGGCGCGTCGCAGGTCGGGGTGGAGGCTTGGGCAGGCGTGGTGGAGGTGGTACTGGAGGTAGAGGTGGAGGCCGGGGGAGAGGCTTGGACAGGGACCGGGGCCGCGGCGTCGACCGGGGCCGGGGGTTCAGCGGGGGCCGCTTTGGGCGCGGCGGCCTTGTTGTAGTTCATCTTGAGGATGTGCTGCTGGAGGTGTCGGATCCAGTCCTCCTGCACCGACAGCGGGCCGTGAAACTCCACCTCGCAGAATCTGACGCATGCAGAAAATAAAAAAAACACATATTAAAGATGGAATTATGCAGAAACAAGTCACCTGCATATTCTGTTGCTGCAGCAACGTTTTTCACACAAAGAAACCAAATACAAACTGACGGTGTTAAACTCAGCGCCTCCCTCGGGAGCAGATGATTCTGTTAAAACTTTTGTGCTGCAGTCATATCAGAACTTAAGCACTCATTGGTCTTGCCTGAAAATCCCAAATGATTCAGTATTCTCAATATAGCGCATTAACCACTACAAGTGGAGTGCTGCTCAGCAGGGGATGGGGGTGGGGATTACAGGACTATTTAAAACTTAGCCCGACAGTTCTATTAATGCTACTGTCCCTAAAACGTCTAATGTTAAACAGGCCCTGAACGTTTTCCTCTCGGGCCGCCCTGCTCTAAACACACACGGGTTCCACTCACCGGCACTTCAGGGTGTAGAACTTGCCCACCAGTTTGACCAGTGGGTAGGAGGGCGGTTTGGGCACCAGGGCGGGGACGGTGCCTGTGCGGGGGGGTTTGGGAGGACTCTCCGTTCCGTCTGGGAACGACGGGTGCTTCAAGGGCCGCCGCTCATAACCTTAGCAAGAGGAGGAGGATGGGGGAAAACAGGGTCGGTACAAAGTGGTGCTGAGCCACACCACTTGAATGTCACTATTTTTGTCTTTTAGGGGTTGTTTGTTTAGTTAAACCCAGCTGACTTAAAAACTGCAGTAATTCTCTCTTTTCTTATTTAATTTTGGACTTCCAAGGTAAATTTTCTTGACAAAGAAATACAATTAATAAATAATGCAAGCCAATTCAATGTAAAATGCAACTCACTGCCTCACTGAAAACAAAGGCTAGTGCAGTACTGTGGCTTATTTACTTCCCCTGATGGAACACCTCATTTTCTGTGTTTCTTTTCTTTTATCATAACAGACTTTTCTTTGCCTTGCATCTAATGTATCCCAAATTTAACCCTAATATTGTGTATTTGCACTCAGCCCCCTTTTTATCGACAGCTAGCTGCGCCGTGAGGCGGTACTTAGCCACAGCGGTGCGTCAAGCTAAATGCTAATATGCTCTCAGGGAAAACGCTAACATTCTGATGTTTAGCAGACCAAATGCCTGTAAAAGCACCGTCATTCCCATAAGCCTCAGTTTTACTACAATGTTTATCATGTTTAGTGTGTTAGCATGCTAACATTTGCTAATTAGCACTAAACATAAGTAACACTGACATATTTCGGTCTGGGCCAACCAACTGACGTAACGCTAAAGCGTGGCTAATTGCGGCCAACCAACTGACAAGGTCAGTAGTCTAATTGTTGAAATTGTTTTCTCAGAGGCCTACCGAGCCCAGCAATACCTAGGAACGTACAGAATTGGGTAAATGGCACATGCAGGCATATGCCATGGGAACCAAACCATATGCTGTACCCCTGACGTACCTCTCGGCAGGCGGACGTTAAGCTCACTGCGCGCCACCTGTGCTTGGAGCGGGAGGCCGCCGGCGAGCCGCGAGGGGCTGGGACTGCTGCGGCCGGGCCTGAACAGAGCGTGGAGGTTGGGACCGGCTTCACCCTCGGCGGTTCTGGAAGAGCCCTGGCTGACCTCGCGGCTCAGCCCGGCCCGCACCAGGCTTACAGCCAATGAAGACGACCACTGGGAGGAGGAGGAGGAGGAAGAGGAGGCCTTCTGTGATGAGATGGGGAGGATATGATCAGAATCCGTTGAGCTGCTCTTCTGGAAGAGGGACAGAGATGAGTTTGCTAATCAGCATTATGTCAAACAAGAGACACTTGTCCTGACATGTCCTGTTGTAATTACCATGATAATAAATTAAACATAACTAGTTATAACAATCAGGTCATTATGAGGCCAAATAATGCGTATAATATCAACTCTATCAATACACTCTTTTTCATATAACATTGACAGCATTTATTATCCTCATCTTAAAGGAATAGTTCAACATATGAGCTGATCGATACCCCTCTCAGAAAAATGAAGCAACTGCCAGCAGCTAATTAGCCTAGCATAAAGACGACCACATACCAGCACTTTAAAAGCTCACTAATTGAAACGTTTGTTTCTCTCTTTCTTGTTTAATTAATTAGTACAAACACAGAACGGTAAATGTTGTGGTTTTACAGGGGATTCTGTGCTGGACCATTTCTTGGTTGGCGCAGCGGCTTACGAGCTAAGCTAACTTTGTAAACTTAGCTGACCGGCTGCAGCTTCCCATTTTAGCAGCGTGATGGCAATAAATGCCAAAATATTCCTTTAATTTGCTATAGAAAGGATTTTGACTGCCAATATGTACATATATTTAGTTTAATAGTGGTGCACTCCTTTAATTGGGATTTATCTATTTATTTATAGATTTAATTAAACTATTATCTAAATTTTGCACATATTAGTTTCTACTAGCTGCTGTTTGAAGACCATGTGCTGCACTTGAAAGCTCCGCGGTGGAATAAAGAATATTTGTGTCCATGAAAAGGCATCTCATTGTTATTCAGAGGACATAGAGATCTCTTTGAAGCCCTGACGCACAGAGCAGTCCACCCACACAGGTGTTTTCACTCATTTCCTGATGAGACCTGATTGATGTGCCTCTTGCTTTCCTGTCAATCCTGTTCAACCTTCTTTTAAGAGTTCGTCAACGTCACACAATTCCCAGCATAGCTCCACCGCTCTTCCCCCTGACCCAGAGGTCTAATCAGCTGCAATTAAAAACACCTGAGGCCAATGCAATCACTGAGCATCTAAATGAACTGAAGGGAACCGTTTTCACAATATTGTCAATTCCCTGCGTTTCTTATTTATATTTTTTTTAATAATTGGGTGTTTTATATATTTGGGTACAATTAACAATATTTTGTAATGTTTAATATTTTCTCGATTTCTCTTTTGGTCCATACAATGTCAGTTAATAGTGAAAAATGCCCAAAAATTCCCTGAAGCCCAATACGAGTCTTCAGATTCATTACTTACACATTAATTAAATAATTAATTAAAACCCCAAATATTGGGTTTGCTACCACAAAGACAGTAGCATGAGCCACTGGAACTGGGGGAGTTTTTGTTCTGCCTGAAAGATGATGATGCCAATTAATTAATTGCCAAAATAGTTGCTGATCAATTTTCTGTTGATTGGCTAATCAATTAATGGTCTACATGGTCGGTCTATTTTAAATCATGCATTTAAATCAGTAGCACAGAACAGCACGCGCAGCTTCGTTGGTTTTGTTCCTCCCTTTACAGTAATGATTACAAGGACATTTAAAAGGTGATCCGTTCTGTATGTGTGTCACATCACAGCTCGGGGAAAAAGGTGTGACAGTGACGCAAATGCACCAGAAACTAATTCAGGAGGGAAAGAAAGCAAAGGGAGAGAAAAAAAGCCTGTATGTTTTCTCCTATCAACAGCATGCCATAATTTATCTGAGGATGAAACATAAGCTGCCAGGCACCCTGGTTACTATGGCAACTATCAAGTCAGTTGTTCTGGCATCCGTCCCCACAGTGATTTCTGCCGGGTGACGAGACACAGGGTCTACAGTAAGGCTCAAAGCTGTTAGACAACACGTCTCTGAAGCTTTCCAAGACACAAAATGTCTGTCGCGCCACCAGCTGAGGAGCGTTAGATCTCGGAGCGAGGCGCCTATTCAAACACGCTGGGAGGAAAGAGAGTGTGTCAGAGGAGTAGTACAGAAGGTTGTGATCTTGTGTTGTATCGCCGCCGCTGAGCTTTGTGGGAGGTTCTTCTTCTGAAATGTTACATCTTTTCTCCGAGAAAGAGAAGAAGAAAAAACAAACTCGCAACAAAACACTTCGCTGAAGTGTGAGAGAGAAAAAAAAAAAAGTCAAATCTGTGAGCGTCCTCGGTTAATAAAAACACCTGCGTTGACCCGAGTTGTCACGCTCAAATGAATCACCAGCAGCTGGCTGCCTCTGCTCACCTTCTTGAGGGTGGAGCGGTTGCCCTGCATGTAGCTGCGATGCATCTCCAGCACCTTCTGCGGCCTGCTGCGCATCCAGGCGCTGAGCGTCTCGATGGGGGATCCATTCACGCACCACTCTGTCACGCCGAACTGCCTCAGGTGGGCTCGCGCGTGGCTGGCCAGGGCCTTGCGGTTCTCGAAGTAGAAGCCGCACAGCTCGCAACTGGGATCTAAAAATTGCGGAAAAAGGGATGAGAGATCGTCTTTTAAAGAATACAATCAGTACACGATGGAGGGGGGGGAAAAACAACCACTAACTCACCCTGGTGTCCGTGTTTGTCTGGGGAAGGTTTTCTTTTGAAGGAGAAATCATGTGGCAGCGGTGAGAAAGCCTTGGGCTGATGTGGCGGTGACTTGGCGGTCTCCACTGGCTGGGTCTCTTCAGACAGAGGCCTCTTCCCCAGTGGGGAGAGTCTGAAGAACTTCCCAGGTGGCGGGGTAGCAGACGTGGACCCCAGGCCCTGCTTGTGGAGCCTGGACCCCGACTGCAGCAAGCTGAGCGGAGACTTGCGGAACTTGGAGGACTGGTAGCCTGAAACACCCAAACCCTCTTTGTAATCCCACAGGGGACTGCTGGCCCCCTGGGTCGACTCCTTCTTCACTCCCACCCCTCTCTTGTGCATGACCTCCCTCAGAGTGTCGATGGGCGAGCCGTTGACCGTCCACTCGGTGATGCCCATCTGGCGCAGATGGGAGCGGGCGTGGCTGGAGAGGCCTTTGCGGTTCTCGAAGTACTCCCCGCAGAACTCGCAGCGAATATCTCTTGTGGGCTCCACTTCATGGGCCATGGCTACGGAAAGACCGGAGGGAGAAAGTCAATGAAACAAGAAAGTAAGTAGAAGATCAAAAGAAGAGTAAGAGAGCACTAAAACACAAACATTACTGGTAAATAAGTATGTTTCCCAAAATGTAGAACAGTTCCTGTAGATTTGCTAAATTAACCCTGTAGACAAACATAGGATCCAAGTTACCCAAGTTGAGGGGGAACACACTGTCAGAGCTGCTCCAAGTGCAGTTGAGAGCTTCGCCGGAGAAGCCGGCAGATCTCCCTGCGGTTCCTGGCGAGGTGACCTCCAGCTGCACCGGCTCAGGTTTCAGCTTGAGAATCAGCCCGCTGGCGGACGTCGGTGGAGCCGAGCTCGATTTAGACGGTGTGGACTGTGGGGGACTTGAGGGGCGGGCAAAGGCGAAGGGTAAGCGGCTGAGGAGGGTGGCAGAGGGAGAGGAGGAAGAAGAGGTGGGCAGAGGCGAACGAGGGGGTCCCGGAGAGGACCGGGGTGGAGTTTTGAGAGGTTTTAGAGGAAGAGCACAAGGCAGGCCCCGCCTTGTGATGATCTCCCTCAGAGTGTCGATGGGCGAGCCGTTGACGGTCCACTCGGTGATGCCCATCTGGCGCAGGTGGGAGCGGGCGTGGCTGGAGAGGCCTTTGCGGTTCTCGAAATACTCCCCGCAGAACTCGCAGCCTATTTCCTTCGGAGGTTCACCTAGAAGTTGAAAGAAGTGAACCGAAATGTGTTAAAACAGAAGCCTAACACCTCATCTGGAAACATCAATCGCGTGAAACAACACTCACTGTGTGGAAGGGCCATGAGCTCGCCACTACTCAGGCGGAAGACCCTCATGGAGGAGGACTTGTGACGCTTGGCGGGTGGGCCGAGCAGAGACGGGGCAGAGGAAGGGGTAGCTCTGGGCATGGACCCGCCGCCGGCTGTACTCACCTTGCAGAGGAGGGAGGAAGAGGAAGAGAGGCTGAGCAGGGAGTGCTTTGGGCCGGAAAGTGTGGTGGCGAGGCCCCGCGGCCTTGCGCGGCCGTCGAGCTGCAGCGCGCCGGCTTTGTGCTTGAAGTCGTCCGTGTTGATGAGCTGGTTCAGCAGGTCGATGGGTGAGCCCTTGGATTCGGAGTACTCCACCCCAAAGTGCCGCAGGTGGGCCCGCGCGTGGCTGGACAAACCTTTCCGAGTCTCGAACCAGGCGCCGCACAGCTGACAGACGATATCCTTGTTAGGGTCCACCTCCAGTGCTGCACGTGAGGAAGAAATAACCAGACTTAGACAACAAACTTAAGAACTTTTCACGATGTTCCATAGACACTTACTGAGGTTGAGAGGAGCGTCATTCTCCTGCGGTGCCCAGGTGGGTTTGGTCGTGACGTTGGCAGAGAGGTTAGAGGTCAAGCCTTTCATTCCCCCGGCCTTGTGCTCAAGGGAGCGCAAGGGGGAAGACACGGGCAGCAGAGAGGATATAGGGGCTTTCCTCACAACTGAGGACGGGGAGCCGGAGTGAGGCAGAGCCGGTGAAGCACCGGGGGAAGGTGACGGTGTGGAGGAAGAAGAGGGTGGCACTGCTTTCGCCGCTTTGGCCAGGATGGAGAGGGGAATGGCTTTCTCGTCTAAGTCCATGTCTTCTAGCTCCTCATCCTTCTGAGGGACAGAGGCGTTCTTGGCGGAAAGGGGCTCCGGAAGAGATATCTGGCCGCCCGCGTGGTGCTTCTTGGCAATTTGGTAGAGGAGGTTGATCGGCGCCCCGCTGCTCTCCGAGACGCCGACGCCCAGCTGGCGCAGGTGAGAGCGGGCGTGGCTGGACAGCCCGCGCCTGGTCTCGAACTGGGCTCCGCACACCGCGCACTTCAAATCGTGGACTGTGAACGAGACAAGAACAGCTGGTGAGACATCGAACAAGCCTTATTTCAATGCAATTGATAAAGACACAAAGTTCACAAAGTAAGAGCAGGTGGCTTGGCTTCCTTCAGAGGCCGTGTCGCCTCGCTTACACTTCCTGTCTACACCCACCCTAGTCTTCAGGAACACTTGCTAAGTGGTGGAGGAGCTCTCATTAGCTCCTAACATACATTTGTCTACCTCTGGAGATTCCCCCGGGGAGAACACTCACCTCAACGCTAACCTAGGGTCAGTTTTACAAGCTCCCCGCTGACAGCCACGGTAAAGCTCTGCTATAGCAAATCCAATCCCCGTGTCAACACTTTAGGGTCAGCGTTCCCGTTTTTGTTTTTTTTTCCTCCCTCACCCTTGGAGTCTGCATCCTCTTCGGGAGAGAGGCCGTCTGAGTCCACACTGCACCGGCCGGCTTTCTGTGTCCGGCTTGAGCTCAGATCATCCAGTGCTGGACACTGGGGCACCTCCTCGTCCTCATCATCCTCAGCTGCTTCCTCCTCCTCACCTAAAACATTACAGACAATAATAATAACAATAAAAATATAGTACTGTTATAAGTAGACTACAGGGCACAAGAGAAGAAATGCAATGTTAATTAGGCCTATTAAGCGACTGGGATAATAACTATTATAATAAAGGGTGTCTGACACTTAATTTCTATGCTTCTAAAATAAGTCAGCCTTTGAAAGCTTATTAATACATTTAAAAGACGCAGTCTGAGAGCAGGAAAACCTTCTCAGCTCATTGCCTATAATGTATCAGCTCTTGTAATAATAGCGCATTATAACGTCTATACTACGAGGAGGTGCACGTGAAAAAGAAATCAAGAAATGAATCCCTGTCAAAAAAAAAGGGGGGAAAAGTAATAATTGCACTACTGTATGAAACAAACATGGCAGTCTCGGTTCCCCCCGCAGTCAGACATTCCTGGGACAAATAAAAGTGCCATTTTATGCGACAAAATCGCGTAAATCAGAGGAGACGCGGAGACAGACAATGCTTTTTGTCTGGTGGGCGGCTCTGCGCTTGTCAGTTCATCTCCTGACTGTAAAAGAGCGATGTGACACCTCGGAGCGCAGCGTTATAACACCGTCTATTATAACGGAGACAATGGCACACAATCAGCCGGGTATTTATTTTAAAAACGGATCAAAGTAGCAACCACGCTAACTTGACTTTGTATCCATTCAAGGCGGAGTGACACTACACGAGCGAGCTGATACTTCCAAGTAAAAAAAGAAAAAAAGAAAAAAAGAAAAAGTGATACTTCGATTATACTTCGTTGATCCGCATAAGTTGGAATACTGGCTTACAAAGTTACCATGTTTCCTGGGCAATCTCGCATGCAGTTGATTACAAAAAAACATACACAAATGCGTGCACTTGAAAGCACAGCGTGTCCTCTATCAAAAATCAAAGCAAAGTAAAATGGCGAGGATTGGGCAACTGTAGGTAATTTTACAGATCCTGCAGCATTGGAAATACTGGACGTCATCCCAGACGTGCACAATAAAAAAGAGAAAGGAATCCACGTACGTTAAGGAAACACAAACTGTAACAACAAGAGCCCCAAAATCATCACTATTTATCCGCGCGTGCAAAAAACGGGAAACAACCCGAAACAATAACAATGACCCGCTTTGTGAGCTATTTGACACCCGTGTCATGGGCTACCTGCATGGCTGCGCGCGACATTGGTTTTCGATACATAAGTATCGCATGATAATTTGGAGTTTTTTCCTTTTTTTTTTTTTAATGGCTGAATGTCTCGCTACGATGTGACAAGAGGATGCGGCTCGAGACGCGCGGCGCCGTATACGCCGCCGTGCGATCCAAAAGGGGCACGCGGGTGCTCGGGAATTTCAGCGCGCGGTACTCACCGGTCCGCAACCGCAGTGCATCGGACTCCCCGGCAGCCTACGCCAGACAGTTTTTTCCGCTATTGTTTGGGTCTACGGGGAGGTGGAAGCAGCCATTTTGCCCCCATATGCACCGCTAAGCTAAGGCGTGACCAATCGAGTGGAGGCGGAGGTTGGGATGAAATGCACCGAGTGCCACATCAACCACGGGGTATCTCTCACTCTCTCACACACACACACACACACACACACACACACACACACACACACACACTCTCTCTGTTGAGGCTGATTTTCTCCACAGCCACCATCCTGATTCAAACACTTCACACATTGCACAGCGGTGTCACCCGGGTCAAGGCCTTTTTTTTATTCAGAGGTTAAAAAAGCAAACAGGCAGATGCACTTAAAACAACAGCATCTAAACTCAACATTACTCACTGCTCTATGAATTTGTAACAGTCTCCATGAACCCTCCAGGCATCATTACTGGGGTGACATACCCCATGTTTAAAGTTCAAAGCACCAGATCACCATAATAACTATCAAACGCATCAGCATCCAGCAGGATAAATCAGGTGCTTTATGAGCCTACTTTTAAGGATAGATCAATAGTGACAACTTACCTCCACTCTCTTCTACCCCGTCCTCCTCCTTCAAGCGTTGAGGAGATGCTGAGGGCGGTGCATCCGGAACGGCCACGCTCTCGCTTGTGTCCCCCTCCAACTTCACCTCAACAATTCCCTCCCCTTCCTCCTCCATCTCCTTCTCCTCTTCCTCTTCTTCCTCCTCTTCCTCCTCCTCCTCCGAGTAGGTGCTCCGGGGGGGAGCCGTGGGGATCGTAAGGTCGGGCCTGCTGGAGAACAGCTCCCTCAGGATGTGGATAGGCGAGATGGTGACGTCCCAGTTGGTGATGCCGAAGTCGCGGAGGTGGGCCCTGGCGTGGCTGGACAGGCCGGCCCGGGTGTCGAAGCCGGCGCTGCAGAACTCGCAGTGCATCACGCTGAATGTGTCCGGGTCGAAGTTGGCAACTGTGTGTGTGGGGGGGGCAACATGTTTAGACATATGACAGAATGTGCAGTGCAGCTGTAAGATGACTGGTCCAACAGCTATTGGACCAGTTGGATAAATTGCCATGCGATTTTGTACAGACAATCATGGTCCCCTGAAGATGAATGACTTTAGTGATCCCCTGACTTGTCCTCTAGCTCCAACAGATGGTTAAAATGTTGTCATTTTGAGTGAAAAACCGGATAGATGGCCATTCAATTTGGTGCCCATTCATGTTCCCCACAGGATATATTAAAATCCCTTTGATGACCTCATACCTCTTCACCTAGATGACTTTGATGACAAGCTATACTTTTTGTTTAGTGCTAATTAGCAAATATTAGCACGTTAAGCTTAAATGGTAAGCATTAAACCTTTTAATTTCTCCAGTTTTCTTACTCTGCGACATCATCTTGCGACCCCTCAGATTTATGACCCTTGCTTCGTCAGGTTGGGAACCACTGCTTTATGTTAACGTAACCACTTGTAAAAGCAGTTCACAATGAAGTGCTCCCAGCTGGTAACCAGAAATTTGATTTATAGAGAGAGGAATCCACAAAGCAACTACCGCATGGCTCACGTCAGGGTCATTGTGTCAAGCATATATTAAAACAAAGACATCATAAACCGACTGTCTGGGCTTTAGAATCTCTACACAACCTATAGCGAGATACCCGCCGCAAGCCGCTGACCTTTTTTCTTCTTCTTCTGATAGGAGAACTTCCTCTCAATCGCATTGACTTCCTCGGGGGATATGAAGTGACGCACATTGTAGCTGACGCCCACTCGGTTTAGGTGGCCCCTCACGTGATTGGCGAGCCCGATGCCATTATGAAATCGATCGGGGCAGTAGGGGCACTTCCTCTCCACACTCTTGAGCGCTTCCGAGTCTTCATCGATCTCGTCCGGGTCTTCATCCAAGAACCCTTCCGACAGGAGACGTCGCACGTGCTCCTCGTCAATGTCAATGTCGTCGTCGTCGTCGTCGTCTTCGCTGTCAGTTTCCGCGGGAGCAGCGGTAACCCGGTTGCTCCTCCTCAGAAAGAAAACCTTTCCATCTTTCTCCACCTCCAGCTTGTCTTCGTCCGTCACACACTTCTCAGGGAGGAGCGAAAATGTGGTGCTCTGCTGTGCTGAGCAGTCCTCTATCAAGATAAAAAAATCAATTCTGAATAAACAGACGAATCCTATTTAAATTTAACCAAAATGTTTACCTTAAATACCACATGTGAAACTTAGGTTTTGGGTGAGTCTTAAAGTCTGTCTGGCCTAAGTCACTATATCAATTGTTTACATTCAGTGTATTAATTTGATTATTGCCCAGTTTTTGCATTAATCTGATTAGTCTTTCAGGTAAAGGGATTACAGATAACTATGCTAACACAGCTAGATTTCTGCTACAGAAATGTGATAATTCATACAAACCCACAAACAGCTTTTTTAAAGGGTTATGTACTGGAAAAGCTACTTGTTGGTGTAACAAACAGTTGCCTTACACATCCATCAGTCACGGAGCAACGTTAGCATTCATTTGTAGTCGTGTTCAGTCCACCTAGCAAATGTAAGTCCAATATTCACTCTACTTTTAGCTCTGTTTTTGGTCTCCACCAACTCCGAATGGAAATATCTGGCTTTTTAGCAGCTAAATGCTCCACTATGTTAAACAAGCTAATCGCTAACGTTTTACCGTCAGCTGTTTGGTGCTGGGCAGGGAGCGTACAGTAGGTTTTCAAAGCTGTTTTAGCTGAAAACAGCTGCCTGCTGTGGTCTGGAAATGACAGTGTGAGCGGTTAGAGTGAATAGAAAAATTGTGAGCCGTAAAGTGAAAGTGATTAGCTTAAAGATGCTAAAATGCTCTGCAGAGCTACGGTGAACTGCAGAGTGAGTGGATTTTTCTCTTTGTCACTGTACACCTTTCACATGGTTATTTAATCCATTGTTTATGAGAAAAAAATATTATGTGCAGCTTTAATATTTTCTGTATGATCAGGTTTTCAGCACAATTACAAACACAAAGCTATGAGCAAGCAGAAATCCGATGGATGTCTTATCCAATTTGAGAATGTGGATATACGACTTGGGTGACATAATGATTTAGCATTAGCATTAGCATTAGAGTCTTTAGTCTGACATTGAGTCTCACCTGTGCTGGACCGTGCTCTGGTGTGCGGTTTCCCTCCAACAGTTGAGTTAGCATCTCGTTGGGAACACTCGGTGTCGAGCTCTGTGCTCTGCTCTTCTTCTTCTTCACTCCCAGTCAGCTTGTCATCCTCCAGAAACTTGGCCAGATCAGTCCAAGTCTTCCCTCTTCTGCTGAATCTCCTGTTCCCAACGCACTTGAAGACCACCTGGCTCGCGGGGCGAGCTGCTGCACCTTCTGGCGGCGCACCGCCCTCAGAAGCAGCGGCTCCTTGTTGGCTCTCGCCTCGAGTTGCATCGTGCGAGGATCCAGATCCAGACCCAGAGAGACGGTCAGAATCGAGGCTGGGTTTTGATATACGAGCGCCCGTGTCAGACCTCCAACGCTGGCCAGTCTCATCAGCCAGTGCCCCGCTGATGGAGACCTGCGCCGGGTGAACAAGTTTCTGGTGTTCCCTCATTACAGTTTGACTGGAGGTCAGGAAGGCACAATGACCACAGGCCAGGGAAGTTGATGCCAAACACGATGGTGGACTAGGGGACGGGGGGGCAGCCTGGCGAGCGGGTTTTTTTCTGTTGTGGGTCTTGGTGTGATTGGCCAGTGCCTGGGAGGTTCTTGTGCTGAAGTTACACTTGGTGCAGACGAAGCGGCGGCGTAAGGCGGAAACACCTCGGGCCGAAGCCGGACTTCGAACTGAATTCGGAGGAGCGCCGTCCGAGTCGAGAACTGCTGTGTCTGGTGTTGAAACCGGGGCCGGGGAAAGTGGCGGAGATGTTCCTGGCTCTGGCGTTTTGCCCGCGTCTCGCATAATAGCCCCGTCAGAGCTTGTATGCTCCACCGCCTTACCGTCGAACTTCTGAATCTCTCCCACCTTCCCGTTTCCGTTCAGTTTCTCAATCTCCTCCAAGATCTTTAGACGAGACTCCTGGTGCCTCCTGTGGTGGTCAGCCAGTGCGAGCCGATTTGGCAGGTTCCATCCACACTCAACACACCGAAATCGGCCGCCCTTTCCCGAACGCCTGCCGCCCGCTGCGCCACTCTGACAGTGCTCCACTATGTGCTCCTGCAGGTGGACCTGCTTCTTGAAGTAAATGCTACATTCCACGCAGGTGAAGATTTCTTTACCCGGCTCTTCTTCCTCTTCTTCATTGTCCCCTTTCCCTCCAAACTTCATCGGCTCCTCCACTGCTGCCTCTCTGAAGCTGGCCTCCTCAAAATCATACACCCCTGCACCTCGATCGAGCTGTGTCGTCTCAGTGGTTTGGGATTTTTGAGCAGTCGGCCGTTTGCTGGCCTCAGGCGATGTGCGCTTTAAGGTGCCAAGTCCGGAGAAGGGCCTGAGCAGCACCCTCTTCTTGCGGCACCGCTGAATGAATGTGCAATGAGCCCAGGGGGCGGGAGGGGGACTCTCGGGGTCCGAGTCTCCAGGGAAGGTATACACATCCCTCTCAAGCTCCTTGGTTTCTTTTCCCTTGGGCCTCTTCTCTCCCTCACTATGGCCCACCTCATCATCATCCTCCTCCTCCTCCTCCTCCTCCTCCTCCTCCTCCTCCTCCTCCTCCTCCTCCTCCATTTGGCAACCATCCTTTGGTTTTCCTTTGGACAGAAACAGCTCGGATACATTCCACGCGTCGCTGTCTGCCACTGCGAAGAGAAAACGGAGGAGTTATGAATGGACGCTCTCAAGTGTGCAGGCAGCTCTGGGTTTCGTCCTTATGTTACTCACAGTCTGTTGGGCCGAGCAGAGACGTATTTGGCTCTTCTGTCTTTTTGCTCTCGTGGTCGCCGGCATGCCCCTCCACAGCAGTAGACCAGTCGGTCTCGCCATGCAAGTGCTGCAGTTTTTCAGGTTCATCTTCACTATGAAGTCTGAGCCGCGTCGGAAAGGGGAAAAGAGTTACATGACATTTCTGACAAGGGAAAGCAGCATCTCTGCCTGAAACAAGTCAAAATGACAGACCATGTGCGAGCTCTTATTTCTCATTCAAATTATTGGGGTTTTCGCAAACTGGGGGAAAACAGTCACTGTAATGCTGATTCCAGTATTTTGTAAATCCAACCAAATAAAAAAACAAGTGCAAGTATTTGTCCCCCATAATTTCAATCCTTGCAGTTAAGAAAATTATTTGAAATAGGGTCTTTATTTAATATGATAATTATAGTTGCAGCTCTGCAGTGATACACAATTACTTTGTATAAATTGATAATAAGAGAAAATCAGAAAAGATCATTTTGAACTAAAGTTCTTATTTAATTGAGAAAATACTTAATACTTTCCATCTGTCAATTATTAAGTTCACACAAGAGCATACAAGACCATGTGGTTATTTCATATATACACTACTTATTTATTGAGTTGCCAGAAAACACAAGTTGTGACATACGTTGTCATGATAGAAGATTTTGGCCCAATATTAAAACAGACCCTCAAGTTGGGAAATAAAACATAGAGCTATATTATACAGTATGGGCCTGAATACAAGATTACATGGCAGGTTTCCTGGGAGAAACAAAAGCTATACAACTTGGACTTCAGCACTAAAGCTTGAGTTAGTCTTCACTTCCTTGCCGAGAGTGTTAAAGCCAGTTAGCTTAGCTTAGCACGAAGACTGGAAACGAGACACTACGACGCAAATATCCCGACGATCTGCCTTTTGTGACGTCTCTCTCTCTCTCTCTCTCTCTCTCTCTCTCTCTCTCTCTCTCTCTCTGTGTGTCTGGATGTTTTTCCTGAACTAAACCAGCCGACATCGCTGCCCTTCCTCCTCCTCCTCCTCCTCCTCCTCCTCCTCCTCACCTGAGTCCAGAAGAAGGGGATCCCGGGCTGTGAGCAGCCAGACCGTGAGGGTTAGAAAAGTGCTGTAGCTCCTCTTCTGACACATGACAGCACACAAAACACACAACCACATCATCACCCCACAGTTATAGTCCACAGATATCAAAGATACACAGACATCTGACTACATGCACACTGAATCAACAATGAGAACAATCAGAGGTGTGGGGGGGGACACCGATGGCATCATGTATTTAGCTGCTACTTGTAATCACGACTGGTCCCAGTAGGTAATAAGCCATGTGTTACCATCCTGTGTTTCTCTCTCGGAGTCAGAGTCCCAGCTTAGGGAGGAAGGAAAGGCTGAGGACCTGAATCTCCTCTGTGCGCTCCTCCCTGGGTCTGCGCTGGGCCCGGACCCGGGGCCCTCATCTCCGGCCCGCGCCACCCGAGAGCGTTTGGCAGACATCGGGCCGTCCCTCACATTTGGAGAGCATGAGGACTAGAGGGCGATAATAATAAAAAACAAACATGTAGTTTGACGCCAGGAGTGGCGGCGACGAACGATGGCGAGGCCCGATGGGGTCTCTTACCTGTAAGGTGCATTCGAGGGAGGCGGGGTTTTGTGCTGAAGTGGAGGGTGCGGGCCCATAGCTGGTCCCTGGGGTTAGGGGTCGCCCCTCTGGCTCCATGGTCCCCCCACCCCTCCCCCCAGAGAGCAGTATGGAGTCCCACTGGTGACCAGTCGTCCTACATTGTGCAGCTTCCTCTTCCTCTGGAACACACACACACCAAACCAGATAAAAGTTGCTCACCACTTGCCCTTACTCACAGACAACAACTACAGTAGCAGACTGTGCGGGAAGAATCAAAAATGACATGTATGGAAGAATCTGCAGAATCTGTCCTCAGTCTTTTTTTTGGCCAGCTGCAGGTTTTTGGACTGTCTGGCCTATTTTTCTCTGAAAGAATGAAATAGGGCGCCCAGCTGGTTACATAAATAAGTCTCCTTTCCACTCAGGCCCATGTCCTCTCCTTGCTGCCCCCCCCCCCCCCTTCTCAAAAAGCAGGAAAATGCATCCAGGGTGTCCCAACGGGCTGGCCTCTGCTGCTCCAGAGGACGTGGCTGGTACCGATCCGGTCGTTGTCAGGTGACTATGACAACAATGCATCCGCGCACGATGCCGTTTAGAAGCACAAAACGACCAAAAGCTGCAGGTTTTTTTTATTTTATTATTTTTTGTGTGCAAATACTCACTGAATTCGGCCTGGCTTGCGGGTCGCAGTAGAAAAAAAGGGCTGGCTCGTTCAAGCACCGCTCGTCATAGTTGTGAGGACGGAGCTGTTTCACCGCCCCGAGACGATGCTCGCCGGGGGCTTCGACTGCTCCCGCGGGGACAAACTTGTCCTTCCGAACCGCCGCTCAGGTTTTCGCATGGATCCCTTGAAGATGCCAGACGGAGGACTCCATGTTATTTGGCTCGCGGGCACGCCACGGCTGCGTACGTAAGTAACGTCGACGGGGAGGGCGACGGAGAAAGAGTTTTCGAGTCGGAACGCCAGTCAAGTTGAATAAGTTCAACTTTTTTTTTTTTTTTTTTTTAAGCGGCTCCTCGGTTTATATTCTCGTTTTGACGCCGGGGTGTGCGAAAGGTTTTCGTTTGTAACGTGTTTTTGAGTCACGACGACACTCCGTTCTGCGAGATAATACGAGACTAGCCGGTGTTGACAAGCCACGGTGGTGACGTTTAATTATGCCGGACATCGTTTTATGGAGACAGGTAACGTTTTAATTGTCATTTGGTGCCAATTTAGTGTCACCTAGTAGCAGTTTGGTCCACATATCCTCCACCGTGTTAAATAGCACGTGTATAAAAACATGTCCCAGGTGTGTCCCCTCGCTTTGAGGTGAGGACAGCTGGACTAGTCTGTCATTAGTTAGTGTAATAAAATGTTCTAAATGTTGTAAATCAATAAACGCCTCACTGCCGGTTAATACGCGGTCATCTGGCGCCCTCTACTGGCCAGAGGTAGAACTGTGTTTCTACCATCAAGGACACTTTACACCAAGTACTGACTCTAATAGTAGTATTACAAGTATTAATACCACGGTATAGACAATACTTTGTTACAAGTAAATGTATAGCATTACAATTTTTTTACTTAAGTAAAAATACAAGAGTATTAGCATCCAAATATACTTAAAACAAGCCACTAAAAGTAAAAGTACTCATTATGCAGAATAATGTATTGTTGTACAAAATTGGATTTGAATTCATGGTGCATTAATGTGTAAACATTACTAATGTGGCTGGTTTTAGTTACTTTATTATATACGGCTGGGTAGCTTGTGAATTTACACGCAGGACCAATACAATATAACATATGATTTATGTATTACTTCATAATAACTTTTTTGATTACATTTTGTTTTAATAATATGAATCCGGAAAGTAACTAGTAACCAAAGTTATCAAATAAATGTAGTGGAGGAAAAAGTACAATATTTACCGCTGAACGTAACAAGTAAAATACAAATACCTCTGAAGTTAACTTAAGTACAGTAAATGTACTTAGTTACTAATCAATACTAATTTAATAATCACACCAGATTTCATGCAGCACACGTCATAGTGTTCAAAAGAAAGCGGCAACAATCAGGACATAAGAATAAAACCAATATTTATTGTGATGAGCTTTTGGTTCACTCGAGGCCCTCCTCCTGCCAATCAGATCATTTTCCTTTCTTGACCTCCTAAAGGGAAGGAAATAGGGAATGAAACAAGGGAAACGGGAATGCAGTGTATTCACATCTTTTACGAAAGTAAAAGTTAACAATCCATCGCAGTGCAGTATTATCAGCAAAATGAACCTAAAGTATCAAACTTACTTATTCTGCAGTGAAATGTCCCTTGTGACTGATATATTTATAATATATGACATCATTAGATTGTTAATACCAGGGGCGTCGTTAGGCCTATTTTAGGGGGGCTGAAGCCCCCCTAAAATGTTCTTCAGCCCCCCCCAAATAATTTGGCATTATTGGCTTTAAAAAAAAATATATATGTATTTTTATTTTGGTGATGTCATTAAATTAAACTATTGTTTCTCACATGGACAAGTTATTTAAAACTCTAACGTGCTACAGATGTGCGTGCATTCTGGTTTATATGTTTTCTCCCCCTTCAAATTACAATCCATTAGCCCAGGGCTCCCCAACTGGCAGACCGTGGTCCGGATCCGGATCTGGACCCAGGATTTAAAACCTATAGATAATTTGGAATTATACATATTAGGCAATGAGTTTGTACTTTAACCGGCGCTTCTTATTCAGCAGTTACGGCACTTGTTCAGTGGTGCAGGAAACACACCGACCAATGCTTTGTATATCACATCACGTGATGCAGCTCAGCCAATCAAATATAGGTATTCTGACAAGTTTCCTGATTCGAGCGAGGTTTACACACACGTGACACACGGGGGAGAGACGAGGAAATAGAAAGAAGAGCAGGAATATTGCGCTAATCGAAGAAGTTATCTCACATGACGTTCTCCAAAAAGAGAAATGTGTTCAGAGAGAATAAAATTTATAAGCAAAAATGAACAGAATCTTATATGTTAGTTCTTACCACAGGCAGTTAAATCCAGTATCATATGTTCAGAAACCGTAACTATTGCTAAAAGCGGCAAATGAAGCGCACTACGAGGCAAAGAACAACTCTTTTGAGCAAACGTACCCACTCACATCTGAAATGAAGACAATAAACCTAAGAGCCCAAAATGATCAGAATCCTAACACATGAATTCACTGCCCAACAAGGATATTAACAGAGAGGATAGAGCTGAAACAAGTGTTAATAACCACACATAAAGTCCATGCTCACTGATTTATCTTGTTAGAAGATGAGAAAAATAGAATATCGTGTATTTTGGTTGACATCACTTCACACCAGAATGAACTGAATTTAAAGCTGCAGGACAATTCAGAGAAATAATTTTTCTAAAATGAAGTACTTTATTTTATTAAGATGCACATTCTTCAAAAGCTTTCTGTTATATCAGTTATTCTTTAATCCAGACATTATTTTACTTGAAAAGAGAAGAACATTTATTTATGTATTTCTATGTATTATTTATAAAAATAAATTTGAAAAGTTAAATTTGAAAAGTGAGAATAATAATTGTTAAAATATAATTCATGTGTACTTTCTTTATTTGATTTGACAGTTGTTGACTACACAGAGACGTTACTACTACTAGACTTCTTGAATATATTTATATATATATATATATGGCACTAAATAACACAAGTTAGATATTATTGTAATGTTCCGGACCTTTGCCCGAGGACATTTTCTCAATCTGGACCTTTTGGAATTTTAGTTGAATACCACTGCAATAGCCTATCATCATACTTAACGATATAAACCCCAGGCACTAGGATTGATCTATGAACTGTCTGAAACAATGGATATCCGCGGCCCCAAATGGGCCCCAAAAAAATTGCCGCGTGCTACTCGCGCAAACATGCTGCTCCCCTTGGGGCTAAGCCCCCCCTCTCTTTGTATCCTAGAAACGCCCCTGGTTAATACTGATGCATTAATGATGTAACACGTCACTGTTACAGCTGGTGGAGGTGGAGCCAGTTTAATCTACTTGATATACAGTTTAATTCAAAGGCTCAGGCCCCCTTAAAGGCTCTCACGGTAAAGCTCAAAGGTGGGCGATCGTGAGATGATCAATGACAACACGAAAAGGAGAACTGTATGCCAACAACACCGTAAGAACCAACAGATGTGCAAAATACCAAAGGGTTAATTAGACGTGCCCCGTCTGTCCCGACATGTCCAAAAGGAAGGATTAGGAGACTTAACTAGGGACGCCACGCCCTGATGGAAAAAAAGGCCGCAGACTCTTGGCGTCAGGGCACTACGGGTAATTTGGAAAAGGAGTTCTCGTTCTGGATATTCCAGCTTTGTTTCCTGTCGGAGGTCAGCTGACCAGCTCGCCCCTTGTGCCCCCTCTAGTACGTACCCCGAAGTGTTCCCAGCCTCTGATCTCGGCGTAGAGCGCGTCGCCGGGACAGGAAGTGTTCACCACCTGTCTGTGGCCCTGCAGGACGAAGTCGGCGACCAGTCTCCCGCCGCCGACGGCGCAGGATGCCAGCTTATCCCTCACCAGCTCCATGGAGTGCTGGGAGGGCAGCCCGGTGACGTAGTCCCCGATGAAGGAAACCCCGTAGCCCACGGAGTTGTGTCCCAGGGTGTGGGCCCCTTGTCGGAGCCAGCCTCGGCCCTCGTAGATGTACCCGTCGGAGCCTGCGACAAAGCTTTTTGAAAGGAACACGGGAGGTAAACTTTTGTGAGTCCGGTGCTTAAGTTTGGCACACATTTGACACGAGACCGTACCTGTAGCCGATGTCGTCCCAGCCTCTGTCCTCCTGGTGGAAGCGCTGCATGGAGCGCATGTCCGCGGCGCACTGCTGGAAGGTCAGGCAGGGCTGGCTCGGCGTGTGAGTGTGGTGGATGTACATGAAGGAGAGAGGGAGAGACAGGTTGGTGGGGGTTCCTCTGTACGGCTCGGCGCCCCACATGCAGCGAGGTATGATGGGCGGGCAATCTGAAGAAAAGGTGTGGCCGGTTAGCGTAAATGCAGGATGACAATCCTTTTTAGAGACCATTGCTTTCAGAATTCTTTCACTCACCGATGTACTTATGGACGAACTCTTTCATTCCCTCCTTCACCAAAGCCAACAGCTGCTTCTTCTCCTTCACCTCCAGCTTCGAGCGCCCCGTCAGTCTCCTCTGCAGCTCTTCCGCTTTCACCACCTGTCTGGCCAGCACCGGAGGGGCGGCCAGCCCCCTGAAGTTCTCCCTGCGGCGCCGGCTGACGAGGCGCAGGGCGGCGTTCAGTCCTTCGCTCTCCAGCGGGCGGCAGTAGTACTCCGTCAGCAGGCCGCTGAGCGCAGGAGGGCGTCCGTCTTTAGCGGAGACCTCCATCCCTAGAACCGCGCCGTCCATGCCTCCGTTGACCCGAGCGGCGGTGAGCGCAGAGGGGCTGCTGCTGAGGAGGGTGAAGACTTGAGGGGAGGTGATGTTGTCCCAGCAGCCGTCGAGTCCCAGGAGAGGAGAGCTGTCCAGGTCTTTGGCCAGAGTGAGCTGGTAGAGGCCCCGCACGCGGCCCGCCATCTTGGCGAGGAAACCGGCCTCGATGCCCAGGAGGAGGGGCGCGAGGGCAACGGTGGTGCCGTCGGGCGTCAGGACCACACCTTCCTCCTTGGCGTCCTCCGTCACCCTGTGGTGCATGGCCTTGCTGAGGTAACCCGAGAGGCTCGCGTTCAATTCGGGGCCGCCGGAGTTGGCGCTGCCAAGGAAGTGCCGAATGAACGCGTCGTTGAGGCCGGCGGCCCCGCGCAGCCTCCTCAACACAGCCAATGGGTCTGACCCAGGGTCGCCGTCCTCCACCCGCCTCACCGCCTCGATGAAGTCATCCATGTGCAGGGAAGACGTAGCTAAGGGACAAGGACAGAAAACATTCAGATGAAAACCCACGTCTCTAGTTCTAGACGACCGACATGATGCCCACATGAGCTCATACAGAGACTATTTTAGCTGTGGGTCATGTCTGACAGCATCAAAGTAAGTGAACGTAAAAGTTGACAAAGCACACAATTGTACAGAATCTCAGCTGAAGATTTGAAACAGGAAAAAAAAAACATGAATAAACTAGTGTGTACATCCATTACCTTCTGCATACGTGCTGAGCAACGCCACAACAAGAGCCAGGGCGGGTTTCCAGCCGCCTTTATCCATCCTGAGGTGTGAGTGGCTCCAAATGTCTGCTCCCCTTGTTGCCTCTTGTCATTTATACAAGTTCACCTGCATAATAAAGCGGGCGGTTATGCAACTGTTGACTTACTGTAGATACGCCTGGGTTCCGCCCGTTGCCGTGGCCCACTGAGCAATGTGGGAATCTGACACCTGCAGTGTGAGTCACAGTCATTTTATGTCCTTTTTTACCGCTCAAGGTCTTCCCACGTATGCCGGCGGTGTGACGGACACGGGCGCTTTGGAGAAATTCACAAGTTCTGTAATACATTTCGGTCACAGCGGTTGCTGTTAATGCTGTTGCTTGTGAAAAAAAAACAACCTTCTGGGAATAAAACCAGCAAGCGGCAAAACTCCTCTCTGCTGTACAAATCAGCGGTAGTCCTCTCTGAGGCAATACGCATGTTCTTGTTTGATGTTCTCAAGCAGCAAAACTGAGGAAGTCGGAGTCCCACAACCATGAATTACGTGTGTGCCGGGCAGCAGTGACAGCAAATATATCTGCATATGCTGCTTTTATTCAGTCAGCGATGAAGAGGCACGCAACAACTGTTGAGACCAAAAGACACAGGGAAACAGTGTTTAGGCTGCAGCATGTGATGGCGAGAACAGGAAGTGGTCGTAGTCTGCGGTTGAACTGGGAAGTACATTGCGGAATGTCTGGGATGCAAATAACAAAGGTCAAAGATATAAATGTGTAATTACTGTAATCTGTAAGAGTAAAGACCTTTTAGAGGGAGGAACAAGAAAGATAAGGTGATGTTCACAAAGGGACATTAATAACCGGTTGCTTTAATAGTCACAGTACCTGCTGTGATTAACGGTCTGTAAATGTGATTCTTTTGTAAACAACGTAGAAATGAAGGTGCTCAGATGCCAGCATGGGTGTCACGTTTCAGCTCAGCAAGATTTGTTCAGAGCGAAACAGCTCGTTGGGTACAATTCGGACAGAAACACAATATAGGAGACTCATTTGGGGGTTTTGTAAGTGACGACATCTTTTTTTGGTTTTGTTTTGTTTCCCCAACATTGTTCCGCTTCATAAAAATGCAATCGGTTTACATGATGAGGGAGCTGGACCTTTATTCAGCTTCTAGAGGAAAAATAAAAAAGTAGAATGTTTGTAAGCACATACACATATTATTGTGTTGTTTATATTGATTATATAAGACATGCCGGTTTAAGTTTTATTTTAGGCTGACCTTGACATTTTTGCCAGGGACAAGAGATAAAAGTGACCGAGTTTGCCTACTATTTCCTCTGCTGATCAGTGGACACCTTGTCAATTAAACAACTAAATCAGTATAAATATAATGTAGGTGTATGAGGTCATTATAAGACATGGGTGGAGCTTGTGAATAGTTCGAAATAAAATGCACATGAGACAAACAAATATATAAACTATTTAACTGTTTTACATACACTATAGCCAAAACATACATATTTTCACTATATAGTAAATGTTCGTCTTTGTTTGTGCAGTGACGCTCCCGTACACTAGGTGGCGGAGTGCAATTTATATCCTGGTTGCAGTTTGAGACCATTCAAAAAGTAAAAGAAGAAGAAAAAGACGGAAGCTGCTGTACAATCGCTCGTCTAATCTGCAACAAGGTTTGTGTATCTTCAAAGAAATAAATAAATATTATTTATAACAAGTTATCTACTCTATGTTTGTGTTTTTAAAATGTGTGTGTGTCCTCTGCTGGAAGGGCTCGCGTGCAGTTATTTAAACAGGAAGTACCAGCTAGCATGTTTGGCTAAAGTAGCTAACAGCTAACGTTATTGGTGATCAGCTGTTTGTTGTGTTTGCGAGGCTTAAACGGGGCATTAGTGGATCACAGCGGGTAGGTCAGACAGCCTGGATTGACGAAAGGTTAAATAATGTTTCGCTTGTATTTGTTGCGATTGGAAAACTCTCGATAAGCACGAGCTACACACTTTCCTCATTCTAGTGAGTGGATGAAACCACCATGGAGAATGTGATGTGTGGAAGTGTAGTTATTGTAATGTAATTTATGGTAAATTAGTGAGTAAATTGACATTTTAGAGACTATTACGCTATTACAGCCCATTCATTAATCTGAAAGAGATCAACACATTTGATTAATAAATAATGGAATGTTGGTAAATTGCAGCAGCCCTGTTCAGTTTAGGTAGCCTGCAGATCTGATATCTGTATGAAGGAGTTTTCCCCACGTGATGGATGTGGTGTTAAATGTGACGCCTGGGAGACAGAGGCTCAAGTCACCATTGACTGCTTTTATTCATAATCTGGCTACAGTTGGGAATCTTTACCATTGGTCATACTGTGCAGATTATTCTGCCAATACATGTAAATATTTGCTAGAGATCATGCTTTAATCCATAAAAAAATCGCTTATCAACAGAAAAGCTCTTGGCTCAGTCCACGTGTATCCAGTTTTTCCCTGTAGCTAACTAAACTAACTAGTTATAAATTATCTGCATACGTGTGTTGCTAGATACCGACCCGTGGCCGTGGACCGCCGTCACCCACCGACAGCAAAATGGACACGCGGTTCACTCGAGGCAAATCCAACATCTTGGAGCGACCCCTAACCCGGCCCAAGACCGAGGTCAGCGTGAGCGCGTTCGCCCTCCTGTTCTCCGAGATGGTCCAGTACTGTCAGAGCCGCGTGTACTCTGTGTCGGAGCTGCAGACGCGCCTCGCCGACATGGGCCAGAGCGTCGGAGCCAGCCTGCTGGACGTGCTGGTGCTGAGGGAGAAGAACGGCAAGAGGGAGACCAAAGTGCTGAACATGCTGCTCTTCATCAAGGCAAGCAAACAGAGAACACCGACGATGGTTTTAGAGTTGAGTAACTTTTAAACTAACTGTTTTTGTTTGTTTGTTTTAAGGTTAATGTCTGGAAGTCTTTGTTTGGGAAGGAGGCCGACAAGCTGGAGCAGGCCAACGACGACGACAAGACTTACTACATCATAGAAAAGGAGCCGCTCATCAACGCGTACATCTCCGTGCCCAAGGAGAACAGCAGCTTGAACTGCGCCGCCTTCACGGCGGGCGTCGTGGAGGCCATCCTCACGCACAGTGGCTTCCCCGCCAAGGTGACCGCCCACTGGCACAAGGGCACCACTTTGATGATCAAGTTCAACGAGTCCGTCATAGCCAGGGACAAGGCTCTGGATGGCAGATAAGGAAGACTGGAGAGAGCGGGAGGGAGGGGGGGGGAGTTATGCTGATCAATACAAGATGAAGTTAAATCATCCAGGTTCAGGCTGGTGTTTGTTCCTGACTGAATTTCCTTGTGGTGACTTTATGAGACAGGAGGGACTTTATGGATGGATGACTGCACCGTGCTGAGCCACGGCTAGTTGGTTCAATCCTCCACGATTGTTGTTTTTTTGTGGATCATCTCGCTCCTGTTGTATCTCATGAAGTGACACAAATTGTTTACTCAAGATCACTTTTTATTCGTGAGCTTCACGTCACATTTTTACAACACAGATGGTTCATAAAACTGAAAATATTAGATAATACTGTGACCACATCATAAAATAACTTAAATTTGGGCTGTGGGAATTTGTGATGGCTCTTTTATACTTTATATCGACCTAACACTGAATCAAAGAAATACTCAACAGATCATTTGATAATGAAAGTCATTTTGATGTGCATCCTTTGCCTCGTAGGATCAAAGTCAACCAACTGAACGTAGGCCAAATAATTAGAGTTCCTGGTTTATATAATGTTTATAAAGGTTAGTGTCGCAACACAAAATACAAAATATTTTATTTAACAGACTTAAGTTTTTTTTTTGGTCATTCCAGTTTAACAGCTGCGTGTTTCATCTCTGTAAAATAGATTCATAAGCAGGGCCGTAGCTAGCATTGACGAACCTGAGGTCATATCTTCATTTTCATTTTAATATCTTATTATTTTATTTAGTGTATGCACTGATGTGTGGGTTATTATTATCATAGGGGAGTTTAAAATCTTAAACTAAAACCAAAATGTACACATGGTGTTTTATAAGCTGGATACAATATCTTTAGACTCGGCATCCTGCTGACCAAGAGGCTAAAATACATTACCAAGTTACCAGAATGTGTCAAGTTGGATTGCAGCTGGGGAATTTTTCCATTTCCTGTCTGTCTCTATACTGTCCCAAAAAAACAGGACATTTGACATTTACGGAATATCCTTATTTGTATGTCCTAAAAAATATTGCATGTTAGATGAGAAGATTGATACCACTATTGTTTCTGTACAGTCTGAAGCTGCTGCCAGTTAGCTTAGCTTAGCACAAGGACTGGAAACGGCTAGCCTGGCTCTGTCCTTAGGTAACAAAATCCGCCTGTCATTGCCTCAAGAGCTCACTAATTAAAATGTAACATCATGTTTGTTTATCCATTCCAAAAAAAATGTAAAATCAACATTTGGTTATACTGGGGGGGACATGTGCCAGGCTAGCTGTTCCCACTCTATGCTAAGCTAAGCTAAGCGGCTGCTAGTGGTATTTATCTTAACAGACATGAGTGATGTCAAAAATGTCGAACTATAGTTTCAGGGGGGGGTTGTGTCGGGGGTCTCATGACCTCAGTTCGCCTACAAGCCTGTCTACCGCCCTGCTCGTAATGCTTCCTTCTGCTTATTGTGTATTTGTCTGTTAACCGTCAATAAAACTGTAGTCATTACCACACGCATGTATAACGTATGTTGACATGGTATCTGCCTGGAAAGTTTGACAGGACGAATGATGAGAGCACGTCATGCTTTTTTCCAAGAGGCTTCAGCGCAGACGTCACGTGGCGGAGTCACGTGGTTACCAGGAAGCTGCGCTGTGTTTACCTTATGTGTCATCCCAAACACTGCGACGGCGAGCATCCTTTTTCAGACGTGATGAACTCCGACAAGCTTAAATGTTATATCTATGAATTCTCTCGCTGATCGATATCCGTGCCGATAATGTCCTCCATCTCCCCCGTGTGATCGTTCGACACCACCATGGCATCTCCGAGCTACACCTGCATCCACGACGGGGCCACAGGTCTGTCTGAACACCTTTCTCTGTCTCTGGCGCCAGTTTGTCCGTGTTTCTTTTTTCCTTAGTGCTGCAAAAAGGCACACGTGTCCGTTTATTCCCGTGGCGTCTATTGCGCCAAGATGTGACCGATATCGGGTCTTGCATTGGAAATGTTTCATATTAACGTTAAATAGATCCTCCTGCTACATCACTTTGTACCGAGCAGGTCCCGGCTAAAGCGACACACTCAAGGTCGTGCCATTCACACAATGAGTGGTTTTACAGACACAAGTGAGTCCACCGGTTTGTCGCGAGGAACATACTTGCCAGCCTGTTAAGCCGGTGGCACACTGTTTACTGACTGGAGGGAGGCAGTTTGGGAAAAAAATAACCCCGATGATGTCATCATCTTGAAACTTAAAAATATGAAAGAAGTGGGCATGCAGGAGACAGATTATTTGCACCATTTATTGTTTTTAGTCAATCGAACATCAGTGCAAAATGCAACACAATTTACTAAAAAATATATTAACATTATTATTCAGGGTACTAAAATTAAAAAAAAGGACCAACTGTTTGATATTTTTGCTTGAAAAATGAATCGATCATAAAAATAGTTGCAGATTGATTTTCTGCCGATCAGCTGATGGTTTATTCAAATAACTGTTGCTAATTACAGGAAATCTTTTTTGAGATTGATTCATAACAGGGTCCAAAAACCACGATATGTCAGCCTCTTCTGCTTCAATCTGGTCCCCACCCACACACACACACACACACACACTTTATGAAAATGCTACACCAGATCACTCGAGTGCCCCTTCAATATTTTGTTAACGCCGATCATGATCTGTGTTTCCTCCAGAGAAGGACAGGCTCCTCTCCTCCGTGGCCAACTATGGGAGCCCTCGTCCCACTGCTCTGGAGGGCTCCGAGGCCCCTCACAAGCAGGGGGAGGAGGAGGAGGCCCTGAGGAGGAAGCTCAAGTACTTCTTCATGAGCCCTTGCGACAAGTATCACGCCAAAGGACGCAAGCCTTTCAAACTGGGCCTGCAGCTGCTCAAGATCATCATCGTGACTGTGCAGGTGGATACATCTTTGTGCTGTGATTTGATTACATCAGAACATGATTCATTAATGTGATCAGTTGGGTCACAACTACTTATTTTTTTCCTGCGGTCGCCCGTTTGTTTCATCCCTGCCTCTGCGTCTTAGTTGGTGCTGTTCGGGCTGAGCAACCAGATGGTGGTGACATTCAAAGAGGAGAACACGGCCACGTTCAAGCACCTTTTCTTGAAGGGTTATCAGGACGGAGCTCCGCAGGCCGTCCACACGCAGGAGGAGCTGTACAGCCGCATCCACTTTGCCATAGAGCAGGTAACAATAACTATAATGAGTAATCTGTGTACTGCCTTTTTAAAGGGCGGATTCACCCAAAATAACAAAAACAACAACAAAAAACCACATTTTCTCTGGCCATGCACATAGTTCTGGAGTTCATTTTCAACAGCAGCATGTTTCATTTCCACCACATACTTCCCGTTGAACGCAGACTTACCACTGCTGAAACTCGCACAAATAAATGGCAAAAAGAGACCAAACCTCTGGTAGCCTCATAGACTTCGACTTATAGACTAATAGTCCACAGCCATGCTAGCAGCTAGCACAGCAGTGCTTTGAGCTAAATACTGTTAGCATGCTAACATGCTCTAAATGAGGCGCTCTCAACCCTTTCGTGACTTAAGCAGCACTTCTGATTGTTGAAAAAAAAATACATCAGGAAAAAAAATCCATAAATTGATACAAAAAGGAAGGAAAACTAAAGTGTGTTGTGCCACTGTTAGCTGTAACATTAATGACCAAAATAACTACTGCTTACCCTCACTCACCGCTGCCTGCCGTTGTGAATCCAAGTTCAATGTGTTCAGGCTCATATTTTGTCACTACACGCTCTGGAGTTCTTATTTTGCGCAGGGTTGTCTCCCACTTTACTTTTTTATTTCAAAAACTGACCCATTTCACTGCAGCTGAGTGAACGTTAGCTAGCTGAACAGTGGTTTGTCTCTAAACTGTCTTGATTGGCGCGGTGATATTCAAACTTACCTGGTCATTGAAATTATGGTTTTTTGAATTACCATGTCATTGTATTTTATTATTTATGCGAATTCTGCATTCGGCAGTACCTCCGCAGCCCATTAGATGGCGCTCTGAGGCCCACCAGTAGGCCCCCGACACAGTGATTTAGAATAGCTGCTCTAAATGACAATGCTAACATGCGGATGTTTAGCATGCATAATATTTACCATGTTCACTATATCCGTTTAGCTTGTTAGCATAACAACACGCGCTAACTAGCACCAAACACAAAATACAGCTGAGGCTGATGGAAATGGCACATAGAACCTTTTTACCTAACCTTTGCTGAGAATGAGCCCTTGCTATCTACATAGGGAGAGGGTCCTCTTCACGGAGTCCGCCATGTTGTACCGCCATGTTTCTACATCAGCCCAGAACTGACAAACCAAACTCTAGAGAGGGCCTTTCATGATTTTACGTTACCTAAAGGTCTCCATAGTTCTTTAAAGGGAGGGGTGAACGGAGGGGTATTCAGTTCTTTGCAATCTGCAACCTCACCACTAGATGTCACTAAATCCTGCATACTTCTCCTTTAAATGTAATTTAGCTACACTGAGGGCACCACAGAAGAACTTCACTACCACTGCATTGGGGTGGATGCCGAAACATCCCAAAATCTGGAGGATCAAATATCAAATGAAAACTATTACTACCACAAGAGATGAGGAAGAAAATGTGTTTTTAATTTTTTTTTATTTGCATGAACGGACTCTTTAACATTTGGTTCAGATACGATACCCGAGAAATAATTCTCTGCTTGTCTTTTCCCCCTCAGTACATGGCTCTACCTCAGATCTCACTGGGGCAGTATGCATACGTGTTGGGCGTCGGTGTAAAAGGGAGTGCGCTCTCCCTCTGCCAGAGGTATTACAGGAGGGGCACCATCGACCCCGTCAACGACACCTTTGACATTGATCCCCATGTCGACACCGGTAGGCGATGACCTTCATCTCTCAGATTGTCTCTCCTCAGTATACGTTAAGTTTGTCTCTGGGTAACCGGCAGCCTTGTTATTTACTCAGTTCCAGTATTTTCTTGGCCCTCAAGGAAATGACTGTCAGTGAGTCATTGTCATGCTTTTTTCCCCACATACTTCAGAATCAACAGGCCGTGTCCCTGCCTTGGGAAAGGAATTATTTGCATACAGCTGCTGATTTGGCAGAGATGGCTTTTGGCAACGCGTGATAAATCTTGTGGTGAAAATAAAGCAAGACAAGTAGAAATCTCCAAGGGGGACGATGCAGCATTTGAAATGCTATGAGGAAGTGTGGTTCGTGCTTGGAAAAAAAGACGGTTCAAAGAATTCCTCATGTGGTATTCTTGTAGTTCCTCTAATGTGTTTTTTTTTCCAGAATGCATTGGACTGAATCCACTGACTGACAATTTCGCTCCAGGAAACAGTGACTACAGGAATTTCACTCTCAACATTTACAAGTCAGATGATCTTATTTTTATTTTTTTTAACATTAGAAATAAATTTTGTTTTGATTTTTGTCCTTTATGGTGTGAAGTATTCAAATAGAATTCTCTTTGTCTCGCTGTCACATATTTGTGTCCAGGCTGATCAACGTCACGATTGACTTCCAGCTGAAGGCCATCAACATTCAGACGATTATAAACAATGAAATCCCTGACTGCTACACCTTTGCCATCATGGTGCGCTGTCTCTTCTATTATTCCTGTTTGAATAAGCGCCCGGCATCACAGCACAGCACGGACAGCAATGTGCAACTTGTTGCATTAAAATGAGGAAAAAACGTAGAGATGCAAGTTGAGATAAACCGATGGAGCTGTGGAAACATTGCCGTGCCCACAGGCTGCATATTTACTCTGGTTCTTCTTTGATGTCAGATTATCATGGATAACAAGGCGCACAGTGGCAAAGTTAAGATCAGTCTGCAGAACCAGGCCTCCATAAAGGAGTGCAAAGACCCCAACGTGTCTGGACACGGTGAGCCAACACTCGTCTCTCTTAATATTCAACTGTTTTATCTGTCATTTTGTAACCTCTTTCTGATCCCTCTCATTCGCCTCCTCTTCCGTTAGCGGAGAGCTACGCCCGGGAGTTCCTCGATGTGCTGGTAGCGTTCGTCTGCCTGCTGTCCCTGCTGCTGTGCGGGCGCTCCATCCTCAGAGGCATCGTCCTGCAACACGTGAGAAAGCGGACCAAGCATTTGTGTGTTTATGGTGTAAAAAAACAAAATAGTTTTACTTTGGTCATCGGTGGAGCATCGGAGGTATCGGTGAGGTGAGGTGCCTGCGCAGGGACGGATAGACAATAAGGCTACACCCACCCCGACAACAGCCTGTTCGAATTTAGAGAAGTGTCCGCTGTCGTACCACCAGACCACCGAGCAGCTTCTCTCCTCGGGCTTCAAGGCTCCTCAAGTCATCCTCCGTACTCCGCCATAAAAATAGGTTTTGCTTTGTTGTGTTTTCAATAAATGAACCATGAGAGTAACATTCAGATCTTCTAAATACCATTGACATACACTTTTATAAATCTAGTTAGACTGTGCACAATATATTTTGTTCATTAACACACACAAAAATTAAACATGCTCCGTGGAGTTATCTTTAAAAAAAAGTAATTTCCTTCTTCATAAAAGATTTGCAGAGACTTTAAATTTGCATTTGGAAACTAATATTGTTTACATCCATGTTTTCTTTGTAGCACGGTCTTCTGTCCTCTCTTTACTAGCGCGTTGCTACGTTTCTTGATGTTGATCCTGTAATAATGTGAGACCTTTGGGAGGAATGTGTATCGCGTTGGCCTCGTGCAAACAACACAGGGACCCACTCATAAAAACGGTTGATCCATAGTGTTACTAGTGATCTCAACAAGGTACCTTGAACTGGGAATTAGGGGATGCATCTTTTGAGCGCAACCTTTTTAGATATTAAGGCATTATTATTATTATTATATTTGATCACAAGAATGGCAAAGCTGCTGCAGTCTATTCAGCCGGTCTCGCCAAATGATGCGTGAAAATTTGACTTTTTGTCATTTTACGCCACCTAGTCTGCACCGACTTCATGGAAACAACGCGCTGTTAAACAGCGGGAAGGATATCTTGGTAAACCTGAATCATTGTTTATAATTAAAACGTCTTCCGTTTTTAATCCCTTTTGTCGATTTGAACAAAACATGGCGCAGCCTCTCATCTTTGTCATCACCTTCCATCTCCCTCACCAGGAGTACGTGCAGTTTTTCAAACGCAGTCTCGGCCGCAGCGTGAGCTGGGAAGAGAGAATGGAGTTCATCAACGGCTGGTACATTCTGCTCATCGTCAGCGACATGTTCACCATCATCGGCAGCTTCATCAAAATTGGGATTGAGTCCAAGGTAATGTGATATATTGTCACAGAAAAAGATTTTCTCTTGTTTTTGCTGAGTTTCTGGTAATAAATGACGTTGCTGTTGTGATGCAGAATTTGTCATCATATGACATGTGCGGGATCCTGCTGGGCACCTCCACTCTGCTGGTGTGGGTGGGAGTCATCCGCTACCTCAGCTTCTTTCAGAAATACAATGTAGGTGAAAGAAACACACACATTAAGCTCATCTTTTTTTTTTACCCTCTTTGTTTCCCTGAAGGGTAAACACATTTCACTCACTCATTCATTCACTCTCTCTGCGTCTCACAGATCTTGATCGTGACTCTGAGAGCTGCGTTTCCTAACGTGATCCGCTTCTGCTGTTGTGCAGCTGCCATTTACATGGGGTACTGCTTCTGTGGCTGGATTGTGCTGGGGCCCTATCACACCAAGGTACCACGCGCACACACACACACACACACACTCTGCAGTGTCTCTAACCAGGAATGAGCAGGCATGAGTCATACGGACAGTCCGTCTCAACAGCCTGATTATCATAAAAGGCCCTCCAGCATGTATCATCTTCGCAGCTGTCTATAATTAATGAGAAGAAAATTGACATTCATTAAATATGAATCATGACAACATTCGGTGGATAGATTGTTTTTGTTCAGTGTAATGTGGTCTGGCGGAAAGAGAGCATTTTCTACAAACCTCACATAAAGCAGCTAATAGATCAAACTTCACATAGGCACAAAATTAACAAATACAAGATTTTAATTGAAAAGGAGCAGCTCAACATCCACAGCCCTACAGAAATAAAGTTGAATTTCACAAAGATTGATGTCAAAATTGGTGGTTTCAGGCATTTCTAAGAAATTAAAGGGGTGCTCCAGTGATTTAGTATTGCACTTCCATGAAGTCAGGTGACTCACGAGAGACTGCTTGGCCAAGATATCCTGACTTTTAGCGCCTATTATGGGTCAATCTACATGTTAAAACTTAAAGTTTCAAGCCCAAGATAACCCCGATGACATCATCAGGGTAATTTTTTTATATGTTGGAAATCTCCTCCAAAGCAACAGTATATATGTATGTATGTATGTATGTATGTATATATGTATATAGTGTGTGTGTATATATAAAACTCTTTTTACAGTCTGAGTAATGACGACTTAACTGAACTTCCTATGTAGAATGGGAGTAAATCTTTTCAAGGAATAGTTTTACATTTTGGGAAATACACCTTTTTTGCTGTTTGCCAAAGTGTGAGATGAGAAGATCGATACCACTCCATTTTATGGAAGTGACACCTATCTTCTCAAAAAAATGTCGGAATGTTTCCTCTAAACGTCTTTTTTGAAATAAAGCTTTGTCCTCTTACTTGCGTGTACTTTCCTCATACAAGCACTGTGTTTGTGTTGTCCGTGCACAGTTCCGCTCCCTGTCCACGGTGTCGGAGTGCCTGTTTTCTCTGATCAACGGGGACGACATGTTTGTGACTTTCCACGAGATGGAGAGGAGCGGCACGCTGGTGTGGATCTTCAGCCAGGTCTACCTTTACACCTTCATCTCCCTCTTCATCTACATGGTGCTGTCCCTCTTCATCGCGCTCATCACCGGAGCCTACGACACCATCATGGTACGGTTTCACTGGGTTACGCTCTCCTTTCTTAACCCTTTTTATGTTGTTTTATTAACACTGCTGAGATTGGTACGTAGGAAACTTTCAGCTTTACGTTGTCCTCCCACAGGCTCAAACACAGGAGCAGGTGCGAGTCAGCGATCTGCACACGTTCATTGCAGAGTGCACGGACACACCCAGCTCTGGCAAGTTCCGTGGGCCCGAGGGGTCGTCGTGCTCCTTCCTCTGCTGCTGTGAGTGGTGAGGAGGAGGAGGAGGAGGATGCGCAGAGGGAGTGTGTGTGTGTACTATATAGCACTATATTTCCACTTTAGCTGTCTACAGTGGTGCTCCTTTTTCCCCCAAACACCCAGCAGGGACGAGCCTTGAACAGACTGACCTTAGACCACGTTGTCCTCCATTAGAATTTTGCATTTAGAGTTGTACTCAAACAGTCACGAGCTCCATTACCTGCTTGGGCTTTTTGCACCGTATGAATATTTTATTGTCTCTTTCTGACATGTCAGTTTGTTGGGGCTTTGATGACCAGTAGACGCGTAATGCCAGTAAACGTATTCATCGCTGTAGACTGGACAACTAAGGGTCAACTAAGTAAGCTGGATGTGCATTTTTACTTGAATGATGCTCTTTTTAGTGTCCACATGGCTACCTAGGTTACAGGATTTTTTTATTTTTGCCTCTTGATTATGTAAATACGTGTATTTCCTCTGACTTGACATAGTAAAAGTACAATGGACTCAATAGAGGGAGAGGCAAGCTGAAAAAAAGAGGGGATCATAAACCGCAGCATACGCATTAGCTCCTGTAACGTTTTCAGTCGAGGCTCTTCCTCCACTCCCCGTTTTCATTCTTTTTACACAAGGACGAGCCCTGCAGCCAACCAGTTAGTCATCAATATGTATGAACTGTTTCTGCTGTGAGCAATGCGCTGTGAGATGGAGCCTTCTCGCTGTTCGACTGCAGAGTGCTGCGCTGCACAATAACATTTCTACAGAAATCCAGGATGCAAACAACCTCAATGAGCTGCACGTTGTGCTAGACAATGCGGCCCCATAGAGAGGTGTGAAGTCCCGCTTATTCCGGTGTCCCCCGTGGGACCTTATTTTGGAAACAAATATGTACCATAGTCAACGGCAAGAGACAAATATTTGTTTGAGCCTGTTTGAATTGTGTCATGAGTTTGTCAATTCAAAATATAATTGTGCACGTCAAGAAACTTGCAGTTTTTCGTAGATTTGTCGTAGTATTGTTTAGTTTTGTGTGAAACCACATCTCTCGTCTCGCACGATGCACGTCACCAACACGGTCGTTATCTTGGCTAGCTAGCTAGCGAGCCGCTGTAGCTAGCCAGCTAGCTAGGTAACTTAGCTATATTCATGCACAAATGTAGGTTTTCTTTCCTCATGTGTTTTAGCTAAGAGAGTTGTTGATATTTTATACGATGTGTGTATAATGTGACTCTTTTTATCTGCCGGGAAGCGAAAGAATGAGCGAGACCCGTTGTTGGTGCGAGTACATGCTGGTACAAAACACACCGACATCGTAGCTTCATTGAGAGACGTCATTTACACGACTTTTGGCTGTGTAGTCTTTGTAATTACTCCAACAGTTTTATGACCAAATGCAACTTTCTTAACGTTCAGAATTATCTTTTAAACTGGCAGCCATTTTGAATGTTTCTGTATTGTCTATAATGCCGGAGAGCAGTAACTACAGAAACAGTGGAGCTGAGAAAATAATGTTCGAAGTATAAAGGCTCTTAGCCAAATTGTGGAAAAGATGTATGAATTATACAACCTTTCTTATGATGCTGATTTTAACCATTATTAGCCATTATCAACTAGCGCAGGGAAAACACATCTACAAGCAAAATACGCTATTGATTCTTTTTCAGCTGTCTCTTCCATTTGAACTGATGAGCTAGTTTAATAAATCAACTAAAACACCTGTAAATAAGTGATAAACATGTAGTTTAACCACATGAAAACACGGAAATCCCCTCATCGAGATGGCAGGTATGGCTACTATGCTAAGCTAGTTTATCTGAACAACTGGGTACATTAGCTGTATGATCATTTTTATGGAAAGGTAAGAAATGCAAAAGTCAGATTTTGACCAAGTATGTGATTTAGCTTTGTAGGGTTGTACGTAGGCAGCTTAGAGAGTTGCTAATATTTTATATGATGTGTCAGACTCGGACACTGTCAGTGCACTGACATTGAAGCCATGTGTGAGAGGGTAATCACTCTCTTTTTAATTTTTTTTATCTGAACGAGAAAGGGCATATCTACAAACCAGCGGTTCTTCATTCATCTTCTGAAAAAAGGAAAATTAATATTCAGAATATCTTATAATAGAAACGTGCTGCACAAAGAAAAAGAAAAGGCACTGCTCAATGGATGTTTCAGGACTAAAGGGTACTGTACATTTTAGTTATTGTTCACTGACATGCCAATTTAAATGAATCATTATTGTTTACAACCACAACATGCATTTACCTTTAATGAATGTTTATTGACACATACTTATTTGCACTTAACGAAGACTGATTTAAATGTGTCACATGGGAGCAAAGCACTGTGTATGTAACGTGTTCTCCTTGTGGTAAGGTTATTTTGTGCCATTTTAATTTAATGGTAAATTTGCATTGGTGTTCTTGTATTTTGCATGCGGTCTTAATTATTTTTTAAGTTATGGCTGAAAAGGGAGTTTCTCACTTCCTGTAAAGGCGTTATTTATTAAATATTTTCTGTGAAGATGCTGCTTCTGAAAGCAAGTACCTGTAGATCAAATAAAGTGGAAAGACTCAAATTGTGTCAATGTTGTTGAGATGAGTAAAACCGGCCAGTGGTATTGTGCCGAGGATTGCTTTTTTAAACTTGTTTATTACATTTTCAAGAAATATAAAACAACTAATTCAATATGCAAAAATACACAAGAAGAAAAATTAGATTTTTATTTTGTTTTAATTATATTTATTTAATTTTTAATGGAACCCAAGTGTTTCATTTAGAACATACCCAGGGAGTTCAACTGAGAACCCATTTATATTCCAAGGTTTTTATTTAGAACCTTAAAGGGCCGAGGCTGATTTGGTGCCCAGAGCCCACAACAATCATGGTGCACAATTACAGTTTTTGGGGGTGCGTGGGCTTGGTAGTGGGCGTTCCACTCTAACAGCCATGCTTTCAACGATCCTTAAATAACTCTTTCTTTCTAAAAAATAACCTGTCTTCAAAAAGGGTTTTTCAGAAGTCAATGGTTCTGGATCGAACCTTAGTCCAAACCATTATCTGAGAGCGATAGCAGTAATGAGAGCCTGTACTTAAGTACAGTTGTGCTGGGATAGGCTGCTTTAGAAAATGATACCAAGCTTGGATTGCACGAAGCCGATGAGCCTTCAGTGTGTTGTTGTAGTCTGGCACCACTAGAGGGGGAGAGCAGACTCTGTCTGCAGCCACCAACCAACCAACCAATCAATACAACCCAGAGCCAATGAAGAAAGCTAAAACAGCTACCTAAGGAGGAGAGGTGGGGTGGTACATTAAGAAAGGGAGCGGTTTGTTGCCTTCATTAAAGATGAATTACCCATAGTAAAGTGCTTAACCTTCAAATCCACCATTACCACAACCTTCATCTCAACACGAAGGTAAATGGACGCACAGTCTTCGGCTGCACCGGCCAAACAAAGCAAATGCAGGATGGACAAAAAGTGAGAGAGCGAATACAGGACGGACAAAGATCCAAGGCAGACACGTGCACACTTGCTCCTCTTAGTGTGGAGGAGTGGCACGGCTGTCCGATACCCTCGGCACCTGCATGCATTATTTACTCAAGGACGCTTAACAGAGGCTGAGACGAAGCACTTAGAATCAGACTGACAGGAACTGGCCAGCCTTCAGAGTGAAGCTGGTTAAACAGGCCTATTGAAGAAACGCGCAGCATGGCGGCCGCTTCCCCAATCCTAGTTAACTGCATTCACACGGCAACCCAGAAATAAGTAAATGACTGGAATAAAGAAATGCACAGCAGGAATCTGAATCCAGAGGTTCTTTATCTGCATTATGTATTCTTTATCTTTATCGTCATTATTCTGCGTAGAATAGACGTATGTATGCAGCGCCTGGCCCGCACGCCGCAGAACAACATGCATGATATGCTGTAAGGCGTTTTCCATGTTGCCTGTGCGTCCTTCTTCTTCACGTGTTGCACCGTTGGTGAGCTCGCTAGCATTGCTGCATGTTAATGATATGCTGTGCTGGCACATTGCTCTCTTTAGGGAGTCCATGGGCGGCTGCACCCGCGTGTGCTAACCTGTAACTGACTGGAATTCATACACACACACACACACACGATTGAGTCTCTCATGCATTTTTGAAGCCAATTGTGTTAAAAGGGGTTTGATTGACCTCTACAAAAAAAAGATGGCGCCCGATGTGCTGGGTGTGTCTCGCAATGCCGGCTGCTGTCTTGTGCGGTGGTTCTGGCCGAACTGGGGGGGAGATGACTGTACACACTGGAATACATGAAACGCAATGTCTGTGTCTGATTTTAAATAACCAATGTGTTGTGTAAGAGCTTGTCAAAGGTAGCAGACCCCCCCCCGGACCGGAGGAGGCCGAGGGTTTTTGGGGGGCTTGACAGTGTGCCAAACCCTTTTGTGCCGCCCCAGCTGGACTGTGTACCGGTGGATGGGGAGGGGGAAAACAATGAGATAAATAACACAGGAACTGTGCAGCGGGGTACACAGCCCTGCCTCTTCCTGTCTCCGCTGCCGCACACCACTACCGCCTGTGTGGAGGAAGAAAAAACACCTTCCTCTCTTTGTTGAGGCTGGTCGAGCATGCCAATACGTCTGTCAGCCGTCAAACCAGCAGGCATCAACCCCCCCCCCCCACGGGAGTCCCCACCTTCTTCCTGGTCTCATGCCTTTCACACACTTGTGCATGCACACCGCACGGTCACATCATTTTAAAACTAAACTCAAGTCTGATCAACTGTTTGAATAACTTGACCTTCAGTTATGATTCCACAGCAAGACCAGTGGCAAGAATCGCTGCTCCATTTCAGAGGAGCACCGACAAAACATCCTCTGGAAACCCGACAGCGGATGATAAAGGGAGACCAAGAGATAACATGTCTTTTGTTTTTGTTTTTGTGCCACACATTTTCCACCCCGAGCTCAAACAAATCTCCCCCTGCTCTCCAGTACTTGGAAAGAGCCGAGTGCACCGCGGGCTCGACATGAAAAGGAGCCCGTCCGCAACAGAGCGGCGCACAAAAGCCCGGCTCATGTAGACAGGGGCCATGCGGGCGGCCGCTATGGAAGAGCTGAGCGGCAGCAGCCCAGCAGCAAACAGAGAGACAGACAGACGGGCAGGCGGCATGCCCACCCAGACTGTCTCTGGAGAAAAGCCCCGTTCTTCTAAAACCGTGAAACAATGCCCTTCTGTGACCGAGAAAAAAAAACACACAACAGACGAGGCGCGCTGTATCTGCTGCTCCTTGCTGGCTTCTCTCCGGCTGTGACAAACTAAGCTGGCAGGCAGGTGCGCATGTTTAACTGCATGGGAATTTTGAAATTGCAGGAAATTTGACTTTTAAGACAAAGAAAAATGTCCGAAACCTTAAATATTGACATTGGGAAATGACTGCAATCAACAGGTCTGAAATGTGTTCAGAGATTTTAAATCCTGGATGCAACAGTCACATTGAGGCAGACAATGCCTGCAACTTGATGCATGTGGGGCAGCAGTAATGCACTTTAAGTGTGTGTGTGTGTGTGTGTGTGTGTGTGTGTGTGCGCAGTGGGGCATGGAGAAGGGGAGAAAAGGCTTTAAAGAGAGGGAAAAAAGGGGAGGAGGGGGGGGTGGTTGCAGGGGCCACAAAGTGAGGGCAACAGACAAACCCGAGAGGAACTCGGGTATGGGGAGCGGGGTGACTTGCAAGAGGTGACATCATCCTTAATTTGAATAATCCCCAAAGCCTGGGAGGGGATTGGCTGTGCTTGGAGAAAGCAGAGGTTCCCCCTGCCATTCGCCATTCAGCCCTTTCAATTGCAGCGTGGCGCGGCCCGTTGTGGCGGATGCTGCCTTCAAGGGACTCATTGCGGCCTCCTATTTCTGAGGTTGGAGTTGTACAGAGAAAAAAATGGTTTTAATGATTCCGAAATAAAACAAATGTGCTTTAATAACTTTTGTCATTTATTGTGGTAAAAAGTGGAGTTGTTCTGTGCCAGTTGGTGTGTACATCTGGAGGGAGCCTATAGTTTTTACAGGCAGTGACACGAGTCAGCCCCGGCCTTTATTAACATAATGCAGATTGTGGCAGTGTTTGCCCATTTGACAGGACTAACACAATTTATTTTGCTATTCATCTGATAAAATATGTTTTTTGATTTATTTTTTTAATCTTCACACAATATTTCACTTGACATTGTGCTTCAATATAACATATTCTGGAGCTAATTTGCAATCAAAGGGGTCCTCTGCCAATTTTACACATTAAGGTCATGTTGCTTGTAATGGTTAGAGCTAAAGAACAGGTGGACAATGTCTTCTGTCGCTCTGAGGGGAGCTTTGTAAAAATGAACCACATCAGTTATTATATATCGTGGCCTCTGCTGCTTTGATTTCGACCATATTTTTTATTTTTTGGCAGCAACTAATGATTATTTCCATTACCAATTAATATGCTAGTTGTTTCCTCAACTAACTGATTAATTGTTAGGTCAATAAAATGTTAAACAACAATGCTAATGACTAGTGTTATTTCTTAGCCTGGCAACTGTTCCTAGCCAAGAAATAGTCTGGCACAACCCCCCCCCAGGCTAGCTGTTCCGCCGTTGCGCGGTCGTTGAGCTAGGCTCTTCTCATTTAGCATCAACTCTGGAAGGTTTCCCAAAATATCGAGTTATTTAAAAAAACAAAATCATTATTTATCAAGTATCACATCACTTTTTAGCTTGTTTTAATAGATGAAAACATAAATCTAACTTTTAGCTAGTTTCATCTCTACAACTGACACACATAGAACCCCAGTTTGCCAGTCGGATCCTGCTTTTGTACATAATGTCGCGGTTTATTTTTTACAACAGCTCAAAAATTATCCCGAGCCTTTCATATATAAACCTCTCATTATTCCGACATTTCCTGAAGCACCTGAAGGCAGCCCTCTCCTCCATCCCTCCGTTCACCGGTCTACTCTCGTGTGTGTGTGTGTGTGTGTGTGTGTGTGTGTGTGTGTGTGTGTGTGGGAGTGTGTGGGAGAGTGTGGGAGAGGGAGAGTAGACTGAAGCGTCATTCTCCTCCTTTCTTCCTTTCAGTGAACGCGCATCACTTGTGAGAAACGGCGCTCGAGACCCACAAGTTTCTTGTCGCTCGGCTCGATTCGCTCTCCCGCGATTTCCCTCCGTTCCTCCCGGCTTCATTTTCACCCTCATCCTCACTTTCTTTTTACCCCTGACTCGAGGATCCACCGGGCTGTACTGCTAACACTGGGCGTAGCTGGACAGGATTTTGCTTGCTCACCGCTGCACCGACTGGTAAGGGCGAGATTCTCTTAGCATTAGCTAGCATGCTAACGTCAGTTAGTAACTGCTGCCGGGCTAATTAACGTTTTACCAAAGCAGGAAGCTTCTAAAGGAACGTTATGCCCATTACAGACGTTAGAGCCCCGGTTTTAACGCTACTACCCGTCTGTGTACTATTCTAACACTAAACAGTGCATCGGAATCATGCTGTCTCTTTGTGTGAATGAACATTTCCGTTAAATACGCAGTTGAAAACGTCTAAACGGTTTGGTTTTGGTGTCACCTCGTCTTTTAGTGGACGAGCCGCTATGTTTCAGACTCGGTCTGATTCCCGTTGGAAAGGGTTGATGGGCGGTGGCAGGCTGCGTGGTCTGTGAGTGCTCAACAGATTACTAACCTAACGTATCATATACGTAATTTTAACGTACGCACCTTTTACTCCACCAACAGAATGTTTTCAATCTTTAAAGCGACCATTTTGTGTGTATATTCCCCTCCTCGCTCAACTTTTTTTTTTTTTTCTTTTTTTTTTTTCTCCTCATCTCCCCTCCTTCTCCATCTTCCACCGCGGATGCCCCATTGTTCTGAGATGGGCCGAGTGCTGAGAAATGTTTCAGTCGCCTCGGGGGGCGAAGAGGGGGGCGGGGGGAACCGGCACATTTAGGGGGTCTACTAAATTCATGCCCACTCTCAGTTTTGCATGTCAACCAAAACCGAATAAATTTGCATTAACTTATTGTGTAAAAGCAACAATTTCCTCGGAGGGAAGTGCGTGAAGCTGAACTATCTCCGAGATGGATGTGCGCAGACTCGAGCTGGCCTGTAATCAGAGGTGATTAATGTCGTCGTCCCCCCCCCCCCAGAAGTGATCAGCTATTGTGATGTGAGAGTGAAGGCTGGAGGCCCTGTAGCTCTCTCTCTCTCTCTCTCTCTCTCTCTCTC